ACTCCATAACACGTCTAAACAAAGAAAAATGCACAAACCTTGTCTAAACCACAAAAGTGACCAAACATCCCCTCAATTCTGGCTCATCGGAGTAACTGCTGCTTTCTTATCAATTACAGTATTAAGTCTCACTCTGGTCTTCCCTCCTGTTAGACAAGCTCGATTAAGATACCCAATCACAACTACCCCTGCTACCTGGTAACAGCCAACCCAGAAGAAAGCCCTTCTTCTTCAAACCCTCCCCTCAAGTCACCTGACACAGATCCAAACCCTATCAATCCTTCATGACATCTTCTCACTAAAGTGGCGCACAGTTCCCCAACATGTGGCCAGGGAGTTTGGAATTCATCTTACAAGCAATGGGGAATAATCAAGGCATTGGAGTAGGGTAGTGGCAAGACCAGAGCTGTGATTTAGAAAATGAAATCGGACAAACATGGAAGACAAACAAGAAAAGAGACTGCTGGCAAAGAGATTAAGAAAGCCATTCCAGTGGCTCAGGGGAAGACAAGGAGACAGGAGTCAAGTGCAAGTAGCATGTGATAAATACCTCTAGGAAGGCGGAGGGAGGGGGAATGAAAATAAACCAATGTTCACTAGGACATCTGTAGGCAGAATTGATAGTGGGTAGAAAACTGGGTTCAGTCTTAACCATCGACATGATTTAACATTCAGTAGGGATTCTCTCAGATTTCTCATAAACCATTCAGGCTGGTTCTGAACAAAACAGGGGATTTTTGTATCTATAAATTCACTTCATTAGCATAAGATAGAAAGCCATGAATAGGATGACTTTTGGTTCACCTTACTTGGATTATAAAATGTGAGGTTGGATTCAAGCCTACCATATGGATAAGGGATCAATTTAGCCCTTAAGTGTCTTTTGGAAGCTCCCCCGAAGGGCATTAGAAGTTTCGTGAGCATATTAGAAGACAAACTTGGAACCTAAGTGTGCATATTCAGCAGACCTGCCTGGATCCTCAGCTCCAGGAAACTAAAATAGATGAAGATATGCCTCCTAGGAACTAATCACACTATCATTCAAATGGAAATTAAAAAGATGCATGGTTCCAACGGCGGAAATGAAGGAAACTTCCCAACATTACCATGGACAGGCTGAGCTCATGGTGGTGCTTGCAGTTGAGGAATAAGAAGGTTCTGTTTCGGAATGAGCTTGGTTCCAAGAGCTTTCTCCAACTAGCTTTTCCCTGCTCTCCTAGAAACTTTGGAAACTGTACCTAGGAGTAAGGTACAGCCAGGAGGGTTCACAAAAGCCCATGTACCCTACAGTAAGCTGAATTGTGGTGTGAATCCAGTTTTGGACCTGGAAGAGGATGTCATTCATGAATAAGGAAAGTCAGACAAAGACATACTTCCTCAGTTCTTCTTTTGCCTCCTCCAGGCAAAATTTAGTTCTTGTTGGAAGAAACAGAAGTCAGCTTTGCCCAAATCTTTCTCTCTGAACTGACCTATTCTAGAGTCTTCTCCACAGGTCTCTATGTGGCTACAATGCTTATCACCCCCACCCTGACCATATATTCCTGACCTTCAAAGTACACCATACCTCTAGATCACCTATTTTCCTTAGCCCCCCGAATCCCAAGACCAAGATTTGGCTGCATCGCTCACTGTGTCTGTGATTTAAGTCAATTTAAATGAAGATGATATAAATTGGGAATTCGAAAATTGCACCTCTTGGGGAGTGATGGAAATGTTAGTTAACTTGATTGTGACAGTGGTTT